TGAGATACTTTGCTTGACAGATCATGCAAAAGATCATGCATGATGTAAACTTCTTCCAATCTTTGAGTTGAGGCATTTATCCAACTATCATATTGTTCAAGGAATGACAGTTTGGCTAACTCATCAACGTAGCGGCTTCCAATATCCTCTGGTGCCTGTGCTGGATTCTGAGGAGATTGTTGGATGAAGCCGAGCGCCATCCACATTAAAACTAGATCATCTTTGAGAAACCGGTGATCTTGAGGAAAGGTGCTGAGAAAAGCAAAACAAGGTCTTAGGTGCTTCGGTAAATAATAGTAGCTCAACATCAGAGCCGGCATCACACCATCTCTCTGTGGTCCGTGATCTGATATATGACGAGATTGCAGAATATTCATCCAGTGACTGTCATCCAAGTTAGAACGCAATAACGCTCCAATCGTCTTGGCAGCCAGCGGCAAGCCTCCAAGCCTTCCGGCTATTTGCTCTCCAATTGATTGCAGCCTCCCATGATTATGGGGATTTGTTCCAACAAATGCGTATCGGTTGAAAAGTGATAAGAAGTCACTTTTATCCAAGGGATTTAATTTCTTTGGCTGGTTTGTCGTCCCTCCCAAAGCTAGTGTAGCCATTTCGGCGACCTTCTCCGATCTGGTAGTTAAAATGATTTTACTTCCTTTAAGTCCACACCTCATCGGAGCAAACAACGTCTGCCAACTAGAGAGATCGTCGTCATTCCAAACGTCATCCAAGAAGAGGAGAAATTTCTTTCCTTTGTGCAGCGTATTCTAGGATGTCTCCCTTAATCTTTTTAACATCAAAGCGAGTGGAGACACACACCCAAATTTTGATGCTAAAGGAACTCTGTAAGGTGTCATCCCCGTAGACGACTTGTGCAAGGGTTGTCTTTCCGACTCCTCCGAGGCCCACAATGGAGAAAAGAGAGATGCCCTCGTGATCCTCATTAGCGATGGGCGCCCTCAGCAACCACTGTAACACTTCCTTCGTATCCCCATCCCTTCCCAGCACATCTCTCTCCCTTACAATAGGTCCAGTTTCACGAAGTTGTTCTTGCTGCTGTTGTTGCTGCTGCTGTTGTTGGTTACGCTCTGTTACTAAACGGTTAAAAACTTCAACGCCTGCCGCCACTTCACTTAGCCTCTTGACAGCCCCCCTTAGCTTCTCGAGGGTGGGGTCGGATTTAAAGGCTCTTTTACTAAACTTGGAAACTCTTCGTTTAGAATCGGAAATAAAACCGCTCACCTTGCTGCCACGAGGTCCGCTTCCTGCAGCATCCGTCTCCACTCGCTTCTGTATCTCAGTATAATCGAGATCGTCGAGTACGTCACTGGCCATGTAGACAGCATCCTTAAGTTGCCATAGCCATTCGTCGAGGTCATCTCCGGTTATTTCTCCTTGCCCGCTCTCCGCTGCGTTTACGACAGCTCGGATACGAGGAAGAGCATCCTTGAGCCTTTGAAGCTCGTCGTTCATTCGTCTTCGCCGAGCAAAAAACTGGTCTGCTGCGTAGTCAAACCCAACCTCCACCAGCTTCTCAATGATTTTGCTTGCAATCACATCTCCGACAACCACCATATTTGATTTTTTTTTTCCACTCCCTCTTCGTTTTTCTTTCTTGCAGGTTCTGTTGAGATGGTGATTATCGACTTGTTGAGACCAAGATAAAGGGTTACAGCCAAGCATCCACTTCTTTTATCAAAGTCAAGCGTCAATTGTTTTTTTTATTAAGACCATGCATCGTTCTTTTTCTTCCAATGATAAAGTTAAACCAAGGATGTGATGCCAGGTCCGTTTCTTTTTGTTAGAGCCAACCAGGTCCATTTCTCTTTGTCCATTTCTTTTTATTAAAACCAAGGACTGAGTGGCATTCATGATGAAAATAAAGGATAGCTATTAGCTTCGCTTTCGAGGTCAAATCACCTCTTGATTTGGCTTGTGAGATGGACGATAAATACTGCCTCTCTAGTCAGCTTCACAAGTTGTCAGAACAGCCGAGCGAATGAGGGTGGTCGATTCGATTGATGGTCGAATGAGAGCTGGCCTTGACTCGTCCTGGCTCTGGAAGGTCTGGAAGGTCAAGTGCTTAGGTGACCCAAGTCGCCTCCGGCTGGGTTGAGCTGACATGATTGATGCTAAGATCCGACACTTGTCGGCTTCATGAAGATGATCAATACTTTAGGTTAATTGATGTTATAACAAATTCTATTCTCTTTTTTTTTTGTATTATTCTTATCAAATCTTTACATCAGCCTCATAATATCTTTAGTAGTTTAAACATAATCCCTCAAATCATTGAGTTTGCTATTAGTTCTTCCGATTCTTACGTCTTATTACTTCTTCTCTTGCCTGAAGGCATCAATGTCAATGATTGAGGGGACTAGTTTAGACAATTGAGGGACCTATAATAGGAATTTCAATCATTTGAAAAACTAAATTTCAAAATATTAAAGATTTAACAGTTTAATATGGAAAGTGTTGTAATCTTATTGTTATATCTACATACATCATATATATCAAAAGTAAGAATCAAACATGAAATGTAAATATAAATAGACAAGAGAAGAGATAAGGAGAAAAGTGATTCTCATTTTATTCATCTTCCTCATTCCTCTATACATTTTGTCGTTTTCATAGGGAAGATAACATGGCAGCAGGTGTCTCAAGTTAATAAGGTTATTCAAGACCAAAACTGAAGAAGTTGCAATATTCCTACAAGCAAGTACCTGCAGGTGGTAAAGTTTGCAGATTGAACTAGGCAACCGAGTAAAACGATGATCAACTGACAAATATCTGAGATGCCTCAATTTATCTATTGCACACGGCAACACTTCCATTTCTTTAATAGTGATGCGCAACACTCGAATGCTTTCTAGTGATTCAAACACTTGTCGGAAAGCCACGGCATGCTCATCATTGTATCCATTGAATTTTAAAATCAGGGTGTGCAAGTTCTTCCATTTGTCCATATCTTTGAGAAGACCAAGATCACCGGTTTCAAAGTACAAATGACGTACTGTGTTTGGGATCTGGTTGATTGACATATCTCCAACAAACGTAAAGCATTCACCATGAGATACTTTGCTTGACAGATCATGCAAAAGATCATGCATGATGTAAACTTCTTCCAATCTTTGAGTTGAGGCATTTATCCAACTATCATATTGTTCAAGGAATGACAGTTTGGCTAACTCATCAACGTAGCGGCTTCCAATATCCTCTGGTGCCTGTGCTGGATTCTGAGGAGATTGTTGGATGAAGCCGAGCGCCATCCACATTAAAACTAGATCATCTTTGAGAAACCGGTGATCTTGAGGAAAGGTGCTGAGAAAAGCAAAACAAGGTCTTAGGTGCTTCGGTAAATAATAGTAGCTCAACATCAGAGCCGGCATCACACCATCTCTCTGTGGTCCGTGATCTGATATATGACGAGATTGCAGAATATTCATCCAGTGACTGTCATCCAAGTTAGAACGCAATAACGCTCCAATCGTCTTGGCAGCCAGCGGCAAGCCTCCAAGCCTTCCGGCTATTTGCTCTCCAATTGATTGCAGCCTCCCATGATTATGGGGATTTGTTCCAACAAATGCGTATCGGTTGAAAAGTGATAAGAAGTTACTTTTATCCAAGGGAATTAATTTCTTTGGCTGGTTTGTCGTCCCTCCCAAAGCTAGTGTAGCCATTTCGGCGACCTTCTCCGATCTGGTAGTTAAAATGATTTTACTTCCTTTAAGTCCACACCTCATCGGAGCAAACAACGTCTGCCAACTAGAGAGATCGTCGTCATTCCAAACGTCATCCAAGAAGAGGAGAAATTTCTTAGATGACACCAAGGCCTCAAGAGCTACCTGTAGTGGGCCAAGTCCTCCGACGTCCGGTCTCCTTTGTGCAGCGTATTCTAGGATGTCTCCCTTAATCTTTTTAACATCAAAGCGAGTGGAGACACACACCCAAATTTTGATGCTAAAGGAACTCTGTAAGGTGTCATCCCCGTAGACGACTTGTGCAAGGGTTGTCTTTCCGACTCCTCCGAGGCCCACAATGGAGAAAAGAGAGATGCCCTCGTGATCCTCATTAGCGATGGGCGCCCTCGTCAACCACTGTAACACTTCCTTCCTCTCCCCATCCCTTCCCAGCACATCTCTCTCCCTTACAATAGGTCCAGTTTCACGAAGTTGTTCTTGCTGCTGTTGTTGCTGCTGCTGTTGTTGGTTACGCTCTGTTACTAAACGGTTAAAAACTTCAACGCCTGCCGCCACTTCACTTAGCCTCTTGACAGCCCCCCTTAGCTTCTCGAGGGTGGGGTCGGATTTAAAGGCTCTTTTACTAAACTTGGAAACTCTTCGTTTAGAATCGGAAATAAAACCGCTCACCTTGCTGCCACGAGGTCCGCTTCCTGCAGCATCCGTCTCCACTCGCTTCTGTATCTCAGTATAATCGAGATCGTCGAGTACGTCACTGGCCATGTAGACAGCATCCTTAAGTTGCCATAGCCATTCGTCGAGGTCATCTCCGGTTATTTCTCCTTGCCCGCTCTCCGCTGCGTTTACGACAGCTCGGATACGAGGAAGAGCATCCTTGAGCCTTTGAAGCTCGTCGTTCATTCGTCTTCGCCGAGCAAAAAACTGGTCTGCTGCGTAGTCAAACCCAACCTCCACCAGCTTCTCAATGATTTTGCTTGCAATCACATCTCCGACAACCACCATATTTGATTTGATTTTTTTTTTCCACTCCCTCTTCGTTTTTCTTTCTTGCAGGTTCTGTTGAGATGGTGATTATCGACTTGTTGAGACCAAGATAAAGGGTTACAGCCAAGCATCCACTTCTTTTATCAAAGTCAAGCGTCAATTGTTTTTTTTATTAAGACCATGCATCGTTCTTTTTCTTCCAATGATAAAGTTAAACCAAGGATGTGATGCCAGGTCCGTTTCTTTTTGTTAGAGCCAACCAGGTCCATTTCTCTTTGTCCATTTCTTTTTATTAAAACCAAGGACTGAGTGGCATTCATGATGAAAATAAAGGATAGCTATTAGCTTCGCTTTCGAGGTCAAATCACCTCTTGATTTGGCTTGTGAGATGGACGATAAATACTGCCTCTCTAGTCAGCTTCACAAGTTGTCAGAACAGCCGAGCGAATGAGGGTGGTCGATTCGATTGATGGTCGAATGAGAGCTGGCCTTGACTCGTCCTGGCTCTGGAAGGTCTGGAAGGTCAAGTGCTTAGGTGACCCAAGTCGCCTCCGGCTGGGTTGAGCTGACATGATTGATGCTAAGATCCGACACTTGTCGGCTTCATGAAGATGATCAATACTTTAGGTTAATTGATGTTATAACAAATTCTATTCTCTTTTTTTTTTGTATTATTCTTATCAAATCTTTACATCAGCCTCATAATATCTTTAGTAGTTTAAACATAATCCCTCAAATCATTGAGTTTGCTATTAGTTCTTCCGATTCTTACGTCTTATTACTTCTTCTCTTGCCTGAAGGCATCAATGTCAATGATTGAGGGGACTAGTTTAGACAATTGAGGGACCTATAATAGGAATTTCAATCATTTGAAAAACTAAATTTCAAAATATTAAAGATTTAGCAGTTTAATATGGAAAGTTCCCATTTTTATATTAGGCCTTCAAATCTTCATATTTGTACACCTTTAATTATACTAAAAACAAACTAATGGATTTGTGTATTAATAGGTTGTCATTTAAAACAATCAATGAATTTGACGGGTCATAAAACTATAGGTTGTAAAATATGGGGTGTTCGTTACGAAATAATTTAACTTTTCAATTGGGTCGACCTCGGTCCAACTCAATAACAGACCTAACGGTCTGAATCCGACCCCATTAAATTGTCTACCCGACCAGATAAACAAACGCTTCTACTTAAACCTTATCGGATCCGGATACCTAATAAAATTGTTTCCTAAAACAAGATAATCCAAGTCCTAATAAAAACAGGGATTTGTTAATGATACTTACAAAATATGACTCCGTACTTACTTCAAGACCTTGTTGTATTAGGACAGAATCTTATGTATTTATCTGCAAACAAATACCCTGCTAACAAAAGCTAGAGAGCAGAGAAAGAAGAAGAGACGTCGTAATGAGATGATAAAGCAAGAGAGCCACATTGACGAGAAGGCTTTGAAGATCAGGAACTTGCTCGAGAACCGACACAAAAATGTAAGTTTTTTTCTTTAATCATTGAAATTTTCTTTGAAAATGTGTTAATGTTTTGCTCGAATCATTCTAGTCTGGAAATGGGGTTTTTAAGGGATTGTGGATTGTCTTCGACTTGTTTGTTCTTCTAGATATGATTAAAAAACACATCATGTGATAGTCTCACATGGAATTCAAAGGTTTCACTCTGCAATGAGGTTATTGCAATTAATAAACCTCCTATTCCTAATCGAGAATAGGAATATTATTAAGTTAATCAACCTCCTAATCCTAATCACTAGTACAGGAATAGGTACAGGAACATGATTGAATTGTTAAACCTCGTAATCCTAATCTCTATAGGAGTAGGATTTAATTAATAAACCTCATATTCCTAATGACTGTAGGAATTGAATTAAGTCAGTAAACTTCATAATCCTAATCCCTAGTACAGGAGCATGATTTAATTAACAAACCTCTTAATTCTAATCACTATAGGAATATGATCACATTAATAAAACTCCTACTTCTGATCACTGTTAAACAGGAATCGGAAATTGGATTTGCTTAAAATTTTAATTTGATTATCATTATATGCTTAAAATTATAATCTGATTATCATTGATCAGAAGGTTTTTCTTTTCCCAAGGTTTCTAGGATTTGTGTCGTTCACTCGTACGAAAACGAGTAACTATTTTCCTCGATTAAGCTTCCGCTACACCGTGTTTACTGTCAACGGTGTACATGGTTGCTGGTTTCAAACGACAGAAAACCTACCACGATATGGCTGAGAAAAAGTATGCAGAGCTTCCCACGGAGCTCCTCGGGCTGATCATCCAAAAGTTGACCTTGCCGGATCACATTAGACTGAGTTGTGCCTGCAACGCATGGAACCAAGCCGTTAAGGAGAAAGCATGGCGCCCGAAGCCTGATTCCCCGTGGCTCATGCTACCCAGCGAAGACAATATTAGTGCTAAATTCTTGAGCTTCTCTGAAAATCGAACCTACAACATCCCTCTCCCTCTTCCAGAGATACGAAGGCGCGTGTGCATCAGATCTTCTCACGATTGGCTCATAACTGTCTATGATATGTCAGAGATGCATCTTTTGAATCCGGTAACTAGAGTGCAAATCCAGCTCCCCTCTATCACCACTCTACCCTATGTCTGCGACTACGCAGATGCTGACCGTCGCTATTTTCTCTACAAGGCAATCCTATCCTTGCCTCCGTCTGCTGATGCAATGGTACAAAATGAGGTATCCTAGACGGAAAATTCCGTCTAGGAAAACAATATTTCCGTCTAAATAGGCTATCCCAGACGGAATTCCGTCTGGGATGTTCGGCAAATTAGTTTCTGTCTAGGATGTCGTATCTTAGACAAATTTTCCGTCTAGGAAACATCCTAGACGGAATATCCTAGACGGAACAATATTCTGTCTAGGAAATATCCTAGACAGATATTTTTACCGTCTAAGAAGTATCCTAGACAGATTTCCGTCTAGGAAGTATCCTAGACGGTTTTTCCATCTGGGATGTTTACTTCATCCCAGACGGAAATTACGTATTGGACATATCCTAGACGGATTTTCCCAATTCAGTTTTTGCATAAATTCCATATAATTACATAATTTACCTATAATTACATAAATTACATAAATTATCCATCCAACCAAATAATTACATAAATTACCACCTGCAAATTTAATAATAATGCACATCCAACCAAATATGCAAATCCATCTTTCAAATCAACAATCCAAAATCCAAATATCAGTTCAAATCACATACCATATTTGAGAAATTAGTCCTATACAACCCAACCAATGTACACAAACGAATAAAGTATCCGCAAAACAACTTATAGTCATCTACACATACCAATTCACAGTATAAAAGCATCAAACACATGTTTTTTTATACATATTTTGACTCTCTCTCTCTTACATATAAAATTATCCATCCAATACATAATAAACACACAGGAGATCATTGTCGATATAGCAGATGATATCAACACGAAGAGAGTCATCCAACCTGTTTAACAAAGATAAGTTTCTTTTTTTTAGTTAAGAGTAGATTGTAATGTAATACAAGTGGGTTTTGAGGGGAGAAAAGCAATAATTGACAAATTAGTCCAAAAAACTGAAAAGAAGAACTTGGATTAATATATAGAGAGAGATATATGCATTAATTAAACTTGGATTAATTATACAAGATAATTCGCAGTAGTGGGGTGTACGAGTGACTTGCACCATTAATGGTTTAACTTGGATGTAGATAGAAATTAATGTATTGATTTGATTAGATGTAGATCAAGGTATATAGATTGTGCTAATGGTGTTTCTACCTGTACAAATTGTGCTAAAAGTAAATTTCTTCATATTTTCTACTTGAGATTTTCTATTATCATTAGTTCTCCGATATGATTGCGTTCAAGTATGTGTATGTCTTTTTTCTATCTACATGACCACAAACATTATTTCACAATGTTTGAAATGTCTTTAAATGCTCCCTAACTGCGCCATAATCCCAAATAACTGTCTCAGGGTTCCTATCCTTTTTACAAGTATTTGTGATTGTTAGTTTTGTACACAATATAATAAATACAGACCAAGAAGTGTTTTTATCTGCAGGTCACTTCTCATTCACTTTACAAGTATTTGATGACCTTCTTTTCTTGTGTACATATATCTGCGCACGAATGTGTGTGCTTACATTGGCATGAAATTTTGGTTTTCATTTGAGTGAATGCCAATTAGCTTGTGTCACCAGAATTGATTACTGGAAGGGTGATATTAGGCTAGTAGTCAATAGTTTGCATTTGTTCTTTGTTGATTCAAGGTGTTGGATGTGGAAAAAATTCCTACAAACGAATAAAAACAGAGAGGGGATGGGACTAAGGAACATGAAATCAATTACTGTCTGTAGAAATATATTTATAAACAGTTAGGATCACCCTGGGTACTATTTTTCACCAAGTAAATTGGTCACTCAATGCCATTACTGAATCTCAAAATGAGCATAAACATCAAAGTCATTTTAAAGGGAAGGGCGTTTCACACCAGGCTATATGAATCCATGTAGACTAGCCGAAGGGTTGTTAAGCGAAAAGAATATTTTGTCTCTTTCTTCCAAGTTAAAAACTTCAACACATTTTAACGGAACGGATTAAAGTAATAGATATACAAATCACTAACTTACCACAGAAAATCAAGAGTCATTGTCGTCGTCAATATCCCTCCTCTGCACGCCACTACCGCTTCCTCCAGCAAGTCCATCCTGAAAATAAATAGATTTAATTTTAGAGTATGAAATTTAGCAATAGAACACACACATATATTATCAACATACCTATGCACCAGTGTCTAAATCTATAAGGGCCAAAACTTCTCCAAATAATTCAGCTGGAATCTAATCGGACAAACATAATACGATGTGCGTAAAAACTTCATCGCTAGTGGGGGCTGCTGGCAAATCTGAAAACATAACCTTCGTCAGTTGCATTAGTAATGCAGGGTCGATCTTACCACGCAGATAACATGAGACACGTAAAATTGCAGAAGTGGTAGGAATCCTTGTTGAGGATCCTGTCGCAGTCGAGGTTGGTGACGACGCCGTGGATAATATTCTGGAGGTGCCCCGCATAGCTCCAACCCCCATCAATGGAAATATGCCCCTATTATTATACCCCATAACATTCATAGCAATGGCGTCATTTTCCTCTCTAGACAAGATATGAGGATCATCAGCAGCTTCTTGAGTAGCACGTAGTGCTGCCTCCTTTGACGCAACATCAATACTATCCTAAATCATATAAGGAAAAGACATATATATTTGATTGGCAAATAATGAAACGAACATCATCAATACTATCCTAAATCATATAAGGAAAAGACATATATATTTGATTGGCAAATAATGAAACGAACATCAACAGAATACTTATTATCATATGATTTATAAGACATATATATTTGATTGGCAAATAATGAAACGAACATCAACAGAATACTTATTATCATATGATTTATTGAAAAATTTTACCACCGACACCATGTTTTCCTTAATCTTGACTTCATATTTATAAGTCGAGCGAAATGTGCCGTAAGCTAACTTTGCCTTCAAATTGACAGGCATTATCAGCTTCCCCTACAAATTATAATAAATTTTATCACTAGACAAGCAATACAACCAATTCAAACTGATACACCTTATTTTTCTAAATGAAACAAGCAATACAACCAATTCAAACCCTCAACTGCAATTGTCGCTTAATAAATGTGGTGCGTATCAGACTTTTTTCGTACACCTACAATCTATCTTACCTACTCCTTAAATATTTATGCAATGCTTGTTTTAATCCTTGCTGTGGTTTTAGAATGTTTTACTAAAAAACTAAATGAACAGGATGAAGAAACATGGAAATGGAGGTTGAATGGTTTTATGTGCATCATCAAATATTTGCAACGAATTGTCAAACAACCAAAACATTTCCTCAGTTGTCTATACGGATTAAAGCATATGAATTTCAATCACCTACCGCGGAATAGTATATTATAAATGTATGATTAATTACAAATGTCGCTGAGCCATTTCAATTTTAGCAATGGAAAGAGAAACAAATTGCACAACCAAAATAGATGAGTACCAACTGCTCTTTTTTGTTTAAAAACATAATTAAAGGAAAGAATAAATTACAAGTGTCTCACATTTTTTAATTTCTCCTTAAAATATTATCTTGTCATCCTAAGTTTTTCGCAAGATAAGCTAAATCAGTAAGAAACAAATAGATTTTAAATGGACAAGATTTTAAATATTATACCATGCCTCGACAATAACCATACTCAAGATTGGCAAACGACGTCGATCCGAAGTGGTGGTCAAGCTTGCGCTTGCTATGTCGATTCATCGAGCCCTTCCTAGATTTATTCTACAAAAAAAGAGTTTATTACTAAGGATGAAATGCATCTATAATCTTCGTTCGTAAGCAAAATGAAAATGATGAATACCTGTGCTGACTCGGTATCCCAATAGAAAAGAAGAGCCGTGAAATGATCGAGGTCCACCCTATCATCGACATTTAAAAACCTCTGCCAATCTGCTGTATATTATCATATGTTGAGCTCTTCAGCTCATGCCGCCATTGTTTAAGCACGGACTCAACCTTTATGTTGAAAACATAGTGCCATGCTCTAGGGTAATCCTCAAGACAATAGTATTCCTACAATTTTATATATAGATATGTAAGATAAGTATAGGCTTGTTAGAAGACCCCTAAATCAAAATAGACAACTTATGCTATATAGATGCACTGGTTTTGCAATAACTCCCATAAATTATAACCAAACAACAATATAAAAAAGTCATTTTGAAAGTTATTAGGGGTTTAATGTAACTTACTAAATAAATATTGAGATACAAAATTTCTCTGCAGGGCCAGTGGCAGCTGGACTACCAACCCACCCTTGACTAAATCAATAAGAAACAAATTGCAGTATGCATTGACTAAACTACAAACTGTCAATGTCACTAAACTACATTAACAACAAACCTTTGCTCCCAGTTCTCTGTTACATGATGTTTATTGTTCAGAGCTTGATGAACCATTCTGTAAGTAAATGTTGCAAGAGGATTTAGATATTTCTATATCTACTAAAATATTAGAATCATCTAGTTAGTGTACTTGCGTGCACACAGACACGTTGTAGACCAAATCCTATCAAATACAGTGAACAGATACTTAGAAATCATCGTTTCAAAATCCACAATCATACCAAAAGCTGACTATAAGCTCAATCGTCAAACTAATTGTTATATGCAAGAGAGATGCATAATGGCCCTAACTAGGTGGTACTATAAGGATCGGAAAATGGAGAAAAGTGAAGGCCTTAAGTGGAAAGGTAGTTCCCATCTTCAATATAACAAGGAAAGCCAGACACTTCAAATGAAGAACAAAAGAAGTATTTGCCATTCCACTGAGGCTCTTAATATGCAAGAGCTCCAACACACATGAAAATCCGGAGTACTTGGTGCAACCCTCATACAGATCCTTTTCACTATCCTCTAATAGCTTCATTATTCGATCCAAGTCCTCAGAAACATGAGCATCTTCAAAACCTTCTGGGCCATCAACATCTTCGATCTCAGTTGCATCTTGGACATCATCTGTCGTATCATCTTCACCATCATTGTTTATATCATATTCGGGATGGTCAGGGCCAATATTAGTTTGTAAATTTTCTATATCTTCTGTCCTGAAACCATGACTGGTATCGACATGCACATCCGGTACTTCATCTTCAATACGGCCTTCCCCGTGATAGGACCAATGTTTATATTCCTCGTAAAACCCACAGTTTGTTAAGTGACTTCGTATTTCCTCTCTATTTTTCAGCTTTATATTCTTACACCTACAACAGGGGCAGTACATTGCACCGCTACTTAGATTATTTGGGTTCATTTCGGCATACTTCATAAAGGCTTCACATCCATCCTTATAATGTCGATCACGAAACCGTTCGATCCTAGGGATATCTATCCATGACTTATCAGGAATTTTCCTCATCTGTAGATAATCTATAATTAGAAACTCTATTTGAAAATAGATAGTATACTAATAAATTTTAAACTATCAAAACGATATACATACATACACACATCATCCTTAAACATGATGTATACGTACTTGTTTGCAACTTTTTTGCTAGGGTTAATTTCACATAATCATCCTGGACTTTGGGTGCTGCATATCATGTACCCCCCCACCTCACCCTAACCCAACTCCCCAACTATGTAGGTGTCTCACAATACCACAAGCTTTAGTTTAACCATAAATTTGGAGTATGCTAAATTGCATTTGTGGAATTATGGATGGATATTTGAATTTAATGATTACATATTGGAATTCTTACCAACGTCTTTTTGGGTGAAATTTTACGATAAGCATCACATTTAACTGTAGCAGGAGCACTTACATACGATGTAGCATTTAAGTTGGGCTAATTGAGGTAGGTTTGAAACTTATTAAGGTATGATGACTAATTAGCACAATCTAGCGGCTGTCATAGGAAGGCTTCTATCCCATTAAGAATATAGTAGTGCTTACATCCAACTTCATATTCTGTATATTTTCATTTCTTGAAAATTTCTGCAGCACCTACCCACTGTTCTCCCTGTACACTGTGCGGATGTTATTCTGTGTATTGACAATAGACCAAAACGCAGAACAACATACGCTTATTATACTCGGAGAACGAGTACGTGCTGCCGAAATTTTTAAGAAATAAAAACATACAAAGTATACAAAGTTGGATGTACGCACTACTATATTCTTAACCCGTCCGAGAAGGACAGATCCAATAATTACAAATTTCTATACCAATTCTTTCCTATTATAATATAAAGTGAACGATCATTTTTGGGTAGAGAACTTTATCTCCTACCCAAAATTGACTCGTTTATCTTATATTATAACCTCAAAGAATTGGATGAAATTATTGGACGGGAGTCTAGGGTTAATGACTCGTTTATCTTATATTATAACCTCAAAGAATTGGATGAAATTATTGGACGGGAGTCTAGGGTTAACGTTATATTTTTTTAACCTAGAGTTTCGAAATTATCTCATATTCTTTTGGGCCAATGAACAAACTTTTTCTAATGGCGATTTTTCTGTTTGGTTATCTTAATTAGGATTTAAACAAATAGCTTCTGATTGGCCTGAGATAGTTCTGGGTGTAAGTAGACAATTAGTTTCTTTTTTTTTTTTTTTGGAGGTCTACTATAATCTTTTAGTGGACTGGCTTGGGATATTATATGGCTCAACTTTTATCTAATGAAATGAAATTTCGTTCAATATAAGAGTTGGAAGTGTGTTTTGCTATGATGTTTCCAAACCGAGAGCATTATTTGATGTGAAAATTAATTACAACATGCAAAGAGCTAGGTATCACTGAAAGAAAATCATACTCCACAAACTTGAAATAATTTCATCTCTTTATTTTCCAGAAGGCAGTATGAGGAATATATCATACTGTTGTAATTCCTGATAGTATTATAAGCAAGCCAGCATATTCTACAATGATAAATTCTGTAGAACACTGAAGATTTAATACAAATCTAATGTATAATGTCTCCTATAAACAATATTTGAAACGACTAGATCGAGACCACGAGCGACAGCGGCGGCGGTAGACGATTAGATCTGGACCGTTAGCGACGATGACAGCGGTCGACGACAATATTTGGACTATGAGCTGCGGTGGAGGTCAGGCAACGGCGACGGTGAAAGATAATGTCTCCTATAAACAATATTTGAAACTTTGGAGATACCAAGGAGTAATTAGCACACGACATAAATCATAAGGAGTTGCTAAAAAATTAAATTTTAATACTGAAATACCTTACACCAGCGGCTGCGATGAACGAGCGGCGGCGGCGACGGTCGACGTCGAGACCACGAGCGACAGCGGCGGCGGTAGACGATTAGATCTGGACCGTTAGCGACGATGACAGCGGTCGACGACAATATTTGGACTATGAGCTGCGGTGGAGGTCAGGCAACGGCCGACCGGCCTGAAAGTAGAACTGATGCCGACGGTGGAGCTCAGCGAAGCGCGTCCGAGGGGGCTTGTAGCGCCCGGGGGCTGGGCCGGGGACAGGGGGGGCCGCAGCCTACAATCTTCCCGTGATCCCGAGTCGTGCGGCTGTGCGGACACACCTTCTGGTGCATTTCGTGACGCGCAGAGTGCGGACCTGGTGACGGGGTTGACGGCCTTGCCTAGGAGGCGCGGCGACCGGCGCATAAGAGAGGGCGATGCGCGGCGACCGTAGCAGGCTGGAAATTTTTAGAGGGTTAGCAGCGGCCGATTTACTTTTTTTTTTTATGGAAAATGCTCTCCAGCCCCCAAAACGAATGAAACAAGCTTCCCACCCCATTACTTTTTCAACGGAGTGTTTTAACCCCCCAAAAGTAAATTGTTTTGTTCTCTGACGCCCAAAACACAAAGCTCAATGCATTTCACACAGGGCAATAGACCGTATAATACCATTTCTCTCTCTCATCTCTCTCTCGTCTCTAAACCCTACAAAATCCCTTCTGCTCTCCCTCCCTCCCTCCGCCCACTCTCCACCCGCCCCGCCACCACCTCTCCGCCATCCTCGCCTTCTCTGCCGCGCGTCGCCTGCGGCCATCCACTAGCATCCTCCAAGCATCCACACATAGAGAAAACCCACCCGGCGCTGAGTTCGAGGAGGTGACAGAGGCAGATCGTCGCTCGAGGGCGAGCGAAACTCCAGACGATGATGCGTCTGCAATAGCCGACCCGGGAACGAGCCGACTGAGGTTTTTACTGGCGGTTCCATGATTCTCTGTTTCTCTCTTTTTTTTTTTTTTCTTTCCGCACGGTGGGTTTCATGGACCGTGGGAGCGTGCGGGAGACATGTCATGCCTGAGTGTGTGAGCGTGGGAGCGGTGCGGAGACTCGCCCCAACCCAAGAACAATAATCAATAAGAAGAAGGACAAGATTGATAGTAATTAACAACCTGCCCCATGACCCTTGGCTGCTCCTGCCTTTGGATGCCTAACAAGAGCTTCTGGGCTCGTTGGGATGCCTCACCAAAACGGCCATGTCATCCCACATCATCCTCGATGCCTTTGCAAGAGACCCTTGACAATCGAAGCGAGACCCAACAGCAAGCTAGAAGAGGGGGTTGACCGAAGCAGCCTAAAAAGATTTGATTTGATGAGGTTTTTTGGTGCGAAGAGATGAGCGCCCATGCAGGAGAAGTTGATTGCGATGATGGCCATGATGAGGGTGCGAGGCCATTGCTTACTAATGTACCAACCGCTAAAACTATTACAGCACCAAAAAACTTTAAAATAACCAAATAAAACTATATCGGTTCTGGTGGCGGAGGATTGTTAAAATTACTCCCTCATTAGAATGTCCTACATTGCGTTCGTTAAGGTTGATATGTTTGGTTGTTAATGTTACCGCGTTTCGGTTTGTAAGGTTACGTATTGGTTGTTAAGGTTATACATGGTTGCTTGATTAAGGTTTACGGACACGTTGGCTTGGTTAAGACTACGCGTGTGCCGTTGATTAC